AATTTTATTTTTATATTTCCCCATACAATTGCAATTCGTTTATTTTGACCCCAATCCCTCCCCTCCCCAACCCCCACTCCCCATAGAGTGTCTCTTGTTCATAGTTGTTTGTTGATTTTGATATTTTCTTTCTTATAGTTATTCTTTTTCCCGGTCCCTTATTTAAGTTTTCTAGATTCCTGCTATGAGTGAGACCATCCGGTATTTTTCTTTTTCTTTCTGGTTTATTTCGCTGAGCATGATCCCTTCCAGCGCCATCCATGTTGCTGCAAATTGCATGTGTTTATCTTTTTTGAATGCTGAGTAATATTCCATGGTGTATATGTACCACATCTTCTTGATCCAGTCATCTATTTTTGGGCATTTGGGTTGTTTCCAAAGCTTAGCTATTATAAACAGTGCTGCTATAAACATAGGGGTGCAGGTGCTCTTTGGAATTGATGTTTCTGTGTCCTTTGGGTAAATACCTAGCAGTGGAATTGCTGGATCATATGGAAGCTCTATGTTTAGTAGGTCCAGAAATCTCCACACAGCTCTCCATAGTGGTTGGACCAGTTTGCACTCCCACCAGCAGTGCAGGAGAGTTCCTTTTTCTCCACACCCTCGCTAACATTTGTTGTTGCTAGTTATTTTAATATGTGCCATTCTCTCTGGTATAAGATGGTATATCATGGTAGTTTTGATTTGCATTTCCCTGATGACAAGTGATGCTGAACATTTTTTCATATGCCTGTTGGCCATTTGCATTTCCTCTTCAGAGAAGTTTCTTTTTAGCTCTTCTGCCCATTTTTTGACAGGATTATTTTCTTTGTGCTGAGTCTCTTCAGCTCTTTGCAGATTTTTGTGATCAGTCCTTTATCATTAGTGTAGTGTGCAAAAATGTTCTCCCAGTCAGTGGGGTTTCTCTTTGTTTTTGTTATTGTCTCTTTTGCTGTGCAGAAGCTCTTTAATTTGATGTAGTCCCAGCTGTTTATCTTTGCCTTCACTATCACTGCTTTGGGTGATGTGTCTGTAAAGATGTCTTTGATGCGCATATCATGTAGTGTTTCACCTATATTTCCTTTTATGTATTTTATGGTTTCAGGTCTTTTTTTTTTTTTTAAGATTTATTTATTTATTTATACAAGCACTGGGTACAGTCAGAAGTGCGGCTGGGTGAGAGAATTCACCAGAGCCAGAGCGGGGAACAGAACAGGCAGACTGACAAAATACACTGCCGAGGGGAGCAGTGGGCGCCACAAGAAAAGTCCACGTGCCATCTGGGACCCTCACTGGTGACCGGGGATCGAACCGGCACTGCAGAGGCTGCGGGCAACTTCGCAGCCCAGCGCTCAAAAGCTGCCCACCCAGGAGGCCCTAATCTCTGCTTCTTAAGTTTCTTCCTGAGTTATCAGGTTTCAATCAGTTTTTTCTTGGAATCTGTTATCTTCCTGACATCTATTTTGAGTTCTCTTCCTGGTATTCCTCAAATTTTATATTTTTAAGTTTGATTTCCAGATATTTGTCTTTTCTATATGTATTATTTGATGATGTGCCTCTCTGCCCAGGAAATTGGCTTCTCTCAGTAATTAAGTGTCTTCCCTCTTATATGCAGTCTGTGGTAATGTGGCTTTCCTTTTATGTTTATTTTTTCTATTAGGGAGGGGAGGGAGGAAGCCTCCTATTCTAGGGGCCTTAGACAGGGAAGGTGAGGAGAACCCTACAGGAGTGTTAGTCACTATGCCACAGCTCCTACCTATGAACCAGGTTTGGTTCTTACCTGCTCACACACCATCTCGTTGCCTTCTTCCTCAGACCTCTGGGTTTGTGTGGTAGCCCACCAATTTTGCTTGTAGCACAGACTTTAGATCACACACACATGGGTCTCTCCTGCATTCTCATATACTAAATCTTTATATAGCTTTCTTAGAATTGTGATAACAATTGTCTACAATTATTGTGCATGCACTTAAATATCTCATTGTCAGACTAGTCTTGCATTAGAGTTGAGGATGTCAAACAATTCAATCCTTCTGCATCATCATCTAACCAATGTTTCAATATGAGGTGCCTATATATCCACTCCATGGTGTATTTCATTGCAGACATCCTGACTTAAGATTTTACAGTTTTACTCTGGTGTTAAAATCATACACATTGGTAGAAACTATACTTTGAATTTTGATCATTCATGAGTAGAATAATTTTGTTATACTGTATAAACAATATATATGTATATATATTATCTAACACAATGTATAAAGACAATTTGTAAACCCATGTGAAATTGTCAGATACTCTGATAATGTCTGAGGTCATGGAGTTTATATTCAGAATTCAAGGCATTGCTAGAGCAATTCGAGATTTATTAATAATTTTGATGACACAATATATTTAACATTTCTAATGTTGAAGAACTAGAAAAGTGGCGTATCTGCTTTTTTAAGTTGATCATAAAATTATTGATGTAAATGCAGATGTCATGTACAGCAAATTTAGCATTTAATGGAAATTATTTTCTCTTCTAGCTTTGAAATTTGAGAATTTGCAGAAACTGATAATAAATGTATATATATAATAAATGACTACATAACTGCTAATGGGTGCTAAAATGATAGCTATTGTACCTGCAAAAAGACAATTTACTAAGATCATATAAATCACATGGGAAAGAAAAAGAGGAACATCTAAGATTCCCCTTGTGATGACTTCAAACGATGGGAAATATTTACTTCCCTAGAAATTGATGTCTTTATTCCAAAAATTTCATGTATTATTCTTTAACTTTAATTCACAATATGTACAGTAAAATAGAATAAAAACCATATTAGTAACATTGGGAATAATACAAAAGAAATAAGGAATTTGAAGGAATATTCATGGGACAGAAATAGTAAATAAAACTATCCAAACTGGGACAGAGGTATTTTAAGATGTTCCAATCTTCCAGTACTTTCAAAGTAGAACTTGTCACTATATGTGCATGCACAATAGGTAATTTACAATACCAGTCACTTTCTGTCTCATTATGGTATCTATGAGAAGTTTGAATAATTAAGGTAAGAAGATAAAATTACCAGAAAACCAAAATATGCTTTTGAGAAGACAAGTTAATGGTTAAATACAGTTTTCTATAAGTCAGGAAACATTAAACTTTGTTAGTCACCTAGTTACAAAGAGTTAGAAAATACATAATCTCCACTGAATGGACCAAAGTGAACAGAATTTATTTGATTTTGATTCACCAACAAGGAATTTTCTTGACATTGGTCAGGCACGGAGCTGCAGGTACTGAGACGCACACGTGTACAAGTCAAAGAGCTGTCTCCTTTCATGGGGCTTAAACTAGAGGGAGAACTGACTTTAGAAATCACAATAATAAGTATACAATGCAAATGAAATAAGTTCTTATAAACAGAGAAATGAGAGCTATCAGTGTATGACAAAGACCTGATCTAGATAGAAAAATTAATGGAGATGATCCTCATATAGAAGTGAGTGCTTGGGCAACTTAGGGATAATTAGGCAGCTTCAGGGACAGCTTCAAGTCCCTAAGGCAGGGGCTTCAGGAGAGTTAAGGAAGGCTCCACAGGTAAGGGCAACAAATTCCAAAGGGAACCCCCAAGACTAGGAGCGACAGGACATTCTGGAACAAGGCTGATAAACAAAAGTATGCTAAGATAACGGCTGGGGCACAGAGACTTAGTTCTGGGCACAGAAACTTTAAGGCAGTGAGGGAGACCTGTGAGAACAAACCAATCACCAAGAGACTGGTGGAGATTTAGGATAATTAGGGAAAGAAGGTGCATATTCCCTGAGGCATGACTAGACTTTGGCTTCCTTACCCTCCCTGGCCTGTTCCAAGGGCCTGGGAGACCAACTTTATATCTGCTCCTTTTCTCTTTAATAAATTTTTCTTTCTCTAAATAAATCAGCCTCTTTTTGCTTCCTTGCCTGAGCGTCAGCAAAGTTCCTGCTGCGGCTTCCTGAGACACCAACGTGTGGTGGGTTAGTGGCTGGGACTCAGCACAGACCCTGCAGCCTGGGATCCGTTCCTGGCTGGGAGACTAGGCTTGAAAACCTGAAATTACAGTATCAGTGGTATTTATATTTGATAATATATTCATCTGAGAAATGAATAATTTTATGCTCATAAGAAAGCTGGGATCCAGAAGTATGAGTATTTTGGATACAAACAAGAAGCAAGTGAAAAGGCCTGTGTTGTAGTGAAGATGAGGGTTAAACCTTGGAGTTGGAGGGTGGGGTAGAAATGGTGTGATACAGCCCTGGGGGAGGAAAAGCCAGCAAACACAGAGCTTAAGGCCTGAAAAAGAATTTGACATCTTCAGTTACTCTCAATCCTTAAAGATCCCAAACTGACCAAGACAGAGGATGCCTCCTGCTCTGCCTCCGTCACGGTCACACCCACAGCCACCGGACACCCTGTGATCTGGGGCCACAGAACAGGCTATAGACCCCAAAGAAGCACAAGATCTCTAAAATAAATATGGAAATGAATTCCTATTTTAGTGATAAGATTAATTAATAGCACATATTTAAACATTAAAGTATTCAAGAAGAATCCAGTTTTTGCAATTTGTCAAAGTTGGAGTCTCATAATAATGGAGGTGATAAGAAATTATGCCTGAGACACACACACATGCACATACACACATATGTATTATATTCCAACATATATACAAACCACATTTAATGTCATATTAGATGTAGTATATAAGAGAAAAGAACTTCAAGTGTGACTTTGGTTTTCATTTGTTTTTTTTAATTTTTAACATAATCTCAAAATCAAACATGCCTGGAAAAGTAGTATCAAAGATTGATGTATATCTTTTACCCAAATTAGTGAATGTCAAATTGTTTAAAAAATTATATTTTATATATCCTTCTCGGTCTGTCAGTGTGTGTGTCTGTCTGTCTATGTGTCATCATACCTACCTACCTATGTATTGACAGATTGGAAATGTGTAAATTGACCCTCACTGAGTGAGAGTTCAGTGGAAATGTTGGAAGGTGAGTTCTCCAGATGGACACATTTTTACTGATCTGTAGAGCACCCTGCTTGGGTCCAGATGCATCTCACAATTCTGCGGAGACATTCTACCTCCCTGTTGTATCAACAGATATTGATCACAGAGCTTTATAATCTAAGGGTTTTTGTTTTAAGTTCAATAAAAAGGCTCAGTGTCATTTCGGTGATAAAAAGTAAAAAAACCCGAGATTTAGACATTGAGAAGTGACCACTCTATCACCTTAGGCGCTTTTGTTTAGTGTGAAAACCCAAAGACCCACAACACTCACCACAGAGACACTGTTTCCAGCCACCATGTGTCCAGAAGCCACAGTGTAGCCAACCAGCTCTTTGCAACTTGGACATGAGATTGTTACTTCAGTCCATGTGATGGATTTGTTAGTGACCAGAGATGTATATATAGTAATGGCTAAAATTAAATAATCTGAAAACAAGTTATAACAGGAGAACGCCAACTTTTACCAAAAAAAAAAAAAAAATGTTACAAGCTAATTCATCATTGTTTGGATGCTCCTGTTTCTGTGAAGACACCTCGCTTTATGAAGTAGTTGTGAGGTGGTGTCAAGGGCCAAGAAAGATCTAAACATCCCCACCACTGTCACATAGTATGTTATTTGTCACAGATGTGTGAATGAGTTATTCCTGAATTTGCCACTTTGGTTTTAATATTTATCTGTTTATTTCTCCTGATAGAAAGCAGTTTTATTTCTGGTACTTTTAACTCATTCAAAAAAGGAAAACTGTCTTCTGTCATCACTGTGGGCAATATGCCTGCCTGAATTTATAACTGCCTAATAAAATTGCAAATGTAAAATGATAATATCTGCTAAAACAATAATTTTGTATATTAAATCCGTAATACGATTTCATAAATATTGGGTAACTTGTCAGAGATCCAATTTAAAAAAAATATGTTGAATAATATGGACATGAGCATGTCATCCCATGGTAAATTATTCCTGATTTGTTTCGAGCTACAAGATGATCATCTCTATTCAGAATGGCTAGCCTTGTAAAGATCAATCCTGGTGAACCTTCAAAAAAGTTTCCGTGGAACTGAATTACCTTTAGAAGCTGCCTGTTCAATCTGATATAGTATCAGGAGTTTTAACTCTAGGATGAAGTTATGCATAGTTAAGCAAAAACTAAGTGACTTCCAAGAGTATACATATTTGTGTGATTTTCTCTTTAAGGAAAGTTTGCTCATAATAGAATTTCCAGTGTATTATGAACTTCTACAGCGATATAGTGGAAGCCAAAATTCTTTACTGGGATTATAAGAAATAAACATTTAGCACAGCATAGGCTGTGCTTAATAAGTGTTAAAATTTTCTTTAAAAGAACCAATTCAAAAGCCAAAACTGGCAAGCAAATGAAAGTTTAAATCTTTATCTTGCCTTTTCTTTAACAACATAATTCAGAGTGAAATAAAAATTGTTGGTAAAGTTTTGTGTAGAACATAAAAGCAGGGATGATGTGATGATGAATACATAAGTTTATAGATTTTATTAAACTATATATACACATACAAGTACAACTGATGAAATATGACTGTTTTGTGTCAATATCTTGTTTTTAACATTCTGCTTAAATATGTAAGATATTACTACTGGAAAAAATGAATAAGTGGTGCCAGCAAACTCCCTGTGCTGTATAACTGTTGCTATGGTCTGTATAAAAAAAATTCTAAAATAAAAATTAAAAAAAGGAGAACAAAAGACAGTGTATTTATTCCTTGTTGTTAGAACAAGCTATCTTCATTTTCCTTTGTTTTTTATGTCACAAGTACACTGTCAGTTCCCTCATTAAAGTCACATTTGTTATTATTATTTAACAAAATCTTCTTTCCACATTAGTTGTGGTAGTTTCAGAACTGATTGATATATTAAATGTTTTTTAAAAAAAAGCTTATGGAGGCATTGCTCCTCTTGAAAACATTATTTCTTTCTGATTCTGAACTAGATCTGTGATGCACACACCCAAATATGTTTCCTAGTTGATTACACTGGAACATAAGAAATTCACTCTCTAGGGCCTTCCCTGGTGGCGCAGCGATTGAGGGCTGGGCTTCAGGGCTGCTTGCAGCCTCTGCAGCGCTGGTTCTATCCCCAGCTGCCAGAGAGGGTCCCACATGGCTAGCAGACCTCTCCTGTCTGGCCCACTGCTCCCCTCAGCAGTGTGTTTCGTCAGTCTGCCTGTTCTGTTCCCCCTCTGGCTCTGGTGAATTCTCTCACTCTTCCGTGTGTTTGACTGTACCAGTACTTGTATAAATAAAAAAATAAATCTTTAAAAAAAATAAATTCACTCTCAAACTCGGTGTGCTTCAAAATGAACCAAAATATGTAGATCAGTGGTAAACTTACTCATAACAACCCACCTGAAAAAAAATCAAAACACATATAAACAAAAAGTTTTGAAAGAGTACACAATTTTCCAATGTCCATCCTTCTAGTTTAGTGTCTCAAAATTTTCTTGAGATAATCATGACTATCCATTTTGCTTTCAGTGAAATGGATTCCACTCTGGTATCCAAATTGTCCTCAGCTGGTTTAAGTCAATTGTGTGTCTAGCCCATTGGCCACTATTTTTTTTATCCTGCCTTCTCTTCTTAGGAACATGCAGAGTCTCAGAGGCCTCCTACAAGAATGTGAGAAATAAGCAGAATACATGAGAATTTATATGTATTTGTTCTACATTTCAAAATCTGGATGAGGTACTGAGTTTTGGCTCAAACCAGTTCAGCTCTGGCAATTTTAGAGTGTGTGTGTGTGTGTGCATGCGCGCGTGCGCATGTCTCTGTGTGTGTGTGTGTGTAAGTGGAACAGTAATACAAGGTCACTTTCTTCCTACATTTTTGATCTCCGCCTTCCCTAGCTGATTAAGGAGGCAGGAAACACTCACAAAATGAGACAGGGAAATGCCAACCATTCATTCTGTGCTAAAGAAAATAAATATTCACAAAATCTACAGACAGAGATGCTTCTTTTGAAATACATTGCATGTGTCTGTGAATATGTACTGCCTGGTTTCAAAGTTAAGTCTCCTTGAGTTGTTGATGAGTTTTATGGTGCTTAGTAATATGAATAGAGTATCTTTATTAAGTCAGTCTCAGAAATTAATGAGCTAATATATGGTGAATATTTTATTCAGTGTTTAGTACAATGTAATTATGAGTACTTTTATTTAAAAAAGGAAATTTATTTGTGGAATTTTATTATACTGAGCACATACAATTAGGTTGTCCATGTTCCCTCTATTTTCCAAATGCTTTTACAAAATTATTTGATGTTCAAAAAACATTAAAAAAAAAAACCTTCCTCTGACCTTTTATCATAAACAAAGAGGGGGGGGCGCCGAAGGTACAGTGAGAATTTCCTGTATTGTGGTTCCGGAACATTTGAAGCTCATGATTTTGCTGCTTCTGTTTCATACTGTCCAGCTACTCTCACCAGTAAAGGGTGATTTGAGAACATTGCTTAAATGCACAATTTCCATTTTTCTTTTAACTCTCTTCTTACACAACTTTCAGGTTCCTAAGCGTCCAGAACAGTCCATGCCCAGACCCAGATCTTCTGGAACAAGCGAGACTTCCCCGAATCGACAGGAGCACCCCTCCTAATGGCAGGTATGTGCAGCCCTGCTATGCAACTGGAAAATAAAGACAAGAAATTGCATGTCATGATATTGATCATTTCGAAGCAGGACAGGGAAAAATAGTGAGAATTTTAACTTTCACATATATCAGTTGATTTTTTCTCTGATTTTTATTTTTATTATTTTTCCTTCTTAATTATAGAAATTGTTTTTGAAACTTTTCCAACAGATTGAAAGGATGGTTTCTGACAGGGACAGCACTAGTGACTTACAGGATTGATTTACCAGGTTAAATTAAAGCAATGCTATTTGAGTATAGAACTAACTAGAGAATTTGAAATGTTAATGCCAATGGTTACAAGATTATAAAAAATTCTCATTTTGTTTTGACATCCAAAAGTCAGCTGATTTAATAGTTTTACAAACAAGAATGTGAATGGCAATATACTTAGGATGTGTACCCATGTTAACGCAGAATCTTCTAACACTCATTTCTTTCAAGGGAAATGCCTGTAAAAAAGTAAATTTGAGTATGAGAAAATGCAATGTTTTATAACCAATGTTGGCTCAAGTGTCATCATGCAAATTACCTAAAAGAAATGCAGGTTCCCAGGAAGTCATCCCTGCATGTGCTGGGGAGCCTTCATCACACCAGGTCCAGGGTGTCCTTTGTCTTTTCATCCCTATTCAACTTCTACAGAGTTATGAGCCCCCTGACATGTCTCTAGCAGGGACTGATTAGAAGAGGACACTGCCAGGCAGCATTTTCAAAATGATGGCTGTGTTTTAGGGAAGACTTTGTGACTATCCAGTCATTTTACTTCTAAGTCGGATACCTGCCAGCTCTGATACCCTGAAGAAGTGACATTGTAAAAGAGACCTAAAGTTTCTTAACTGCCTACTGGGAATGATACCTCTTATGATTTTTCCCTGAGAGACTATGTTAGTGTTCACTATTTAAGTCCACAAACAGAACTTTGTATCTGTTCTTACTCAGACCCCCATATTTCTATCCCTCAATATTACTAAGATGGATCCAATAAAGTGGAAAATGCATGAATAATCTCACAGTAAATTTCGGTATTGCTTCGAGCTTGCAGTAGCTTGTTTTCATTTCCCAGTGTTTCACTGGCAGGCAATCAGATTACCAAATTAAAAAACTTTTTGGTTATCTCTTACTAATTTCTGTCTTTACGAACTTTTCCAGGGTTTTCTTTTGCAGTCATTACTTTACCTCTCTTTCTCTACAGCTTGTCAGACCACGCTATGGAGGTGGATTTCTGGGATCTTAGGAGTAACATGCCTTTCGTTGATGGCTATTTTGGGAACTGTGTTATTTTTTATTCTAAGTAAGTTTTTCTAGGCAAGTCTATATGAAGTTCAAAACTTTGATCAAAAATTTTAATAATAAATGTTTCATTTACTGGCATGGAATATTTTATTTTTTTAACAAAACTGTATCTAATAATTGCTATCATTTCTTATTGCATCTCACACAACTATTAATGAGCCAACAATCTCTCCAGGAAATACCGCTGAAATCCAGAAAGGTTGGTTCCATGTTTGTAAACCTTGTGGTTTCTGGAGGGTGAAGTAGGCAGTTTCCCCCCCTTTTTTTATACAGACCCATGATGGAATATTGTAATCTAGTTATACAATTTGACTTACTAACTGTAAGATAGTCTCATTTCATTATTCTCCAGTATACCAATTATTACATTACATTGAATATAGAGCATCTATATATTTAAATGTTAAGGAAATATAAACTTGAAATGACAGGTTCATGAGTGCACCAGCCTGCATGAGTGTTCACATTTAAGTAAACAGTCAAATTAAGTGGCAGTATAAATCTCTGCTAATCTGAAATAACTGGCTGTGTTGCTCATAAACCATAAATTTATATCTCTTTAATTTCTTTTTTTAAAAGATTTATTTATTTATACAAGCACTGGGTATAGTCAGAAGCACGGGAGGGTGGGGGAATTCACCAGAGCCAGAGCAGGGAACAGAACAGGCAGACTGACGAAAAACACCCCTGAGGGGAGCAGCGGGTGTGGCAGGAGTGGTCAGCGCGCCATGTGGGGCCCTTGCCGGTGGCCGGGATCAAACTGGCGCTGCAGAGGCTGCGGGCAGCTTTGCAGCACAGCGTGCAACCACTGCACCACCAGAGAAGGCCCTTTATGTCTTTAATTTTCATTCTGCATCTTTTGACTCAGAATTTAGTGTACAGATTTCAGCATATCTAAATCTCATTAGTGGGCTTGCTGAAAACTTAATTATCAATGCATTTTATCCAAATGTTTTTCAATTTGCCTCAACATTGTTTGTGGTGTTTTCTCACTTCAGTTTTATTATTTTACCATATTTTTTCTAGTTAATTGCAATGCAAGTAACATAGAGCATTGTATAAGCTTAAGATGCACAAAGTGTTAATTTGATACACTTCTGCAATATGCTGACATTATATATTAGTTAACACCTCCATTCCATCACCTAAGTGGCACTTCTCATTGTGTTGATAACATTAAGATCTACTCCTTTGTGCTTATCACAAGTATGAAATAGAGAAATTTTACCTGCTTTCACAAAACTGGGTCCTAGATCCTCAGAACTTATTCATGCAATATGTTGAAGATCTGGAATTTTATTTTGGAATGTTTGAACAATATTTTGTTCTAACTGGAAGTTTATATCCTTTGACTATCATTTTCTTGTTCCCCATCCTTATGATGATTCTCCCACATTTTAATCACATGTCAGCACCACTCGTTTTGCAATTTTGAGTGCCTACCACAATTCAGGACCTTCATAAAGGAGGATAGTAAATGCTCAGGATGCAACAGTGAAAACTGTGGGATGAGACTTCAAACTAATTGCTCCATGCATCTTCTTTTATAAGATCAAATACCCATCACATATATCAGAATACGCCCAACATACACTATTTTTGTTATTACTCAGGAAATATATTACAATATTTTCTTCCTTTAAAGAGCTCCAGGATCATGGCCTCCCTCATTGCCCATGGGTTAAATCTCGGTGCTGCCACCAGGAAGTCTCACTGAAATGGCCTGAGTTCAATCCCAAGCCATGGAGCTAACACACATGGTGCAGCAGACCTCTCCTGTCTTGCCTGCTGCTCCCCTCAGTAGCAGATTTCAGTGTATCCACCTGTTCTGCTCCCCACTCTGTCTCTGGTGAATCTTCTAATTCCCCACACCTCTGGTCTGAACACTAGTTCTTCTATGAAAAATAAATAAAACCTTAAAAAAAAAACAAACTCTAGGATCTAATTTATTCCTAGGTTCAGTTACTCCTAGAATATAGAAAAGAAGAGCAGATTCAACAGAAAAACATTTTTAGCTATATCTAGAATATTCAAATATATACATAGATAGATTTTTAAAATAATTTGTAGCAAAAAAGTAAATTAAAATTAATTTTTGAATGAATAAAAAAACTGAAAACAATCTCCAATTAACAGTTATATGTTATTTTTCTCTTAGACTCTGGATACAGTTCTTGCCAAGAAAGATGGATTGGCTATCAGTGCAACTGTTACTTCATTTCCAATGAATCAAAATCTTGGAATGAAAGTAGGGATTCCTGTGCTTCTCAGAAGTCCACCCTGCTTCAGATGCACAGTGGAGATGAATTGGCATGTATTTAATTCTGGCTTCCTATATGTTTTAAGTCTTGATAAAAATTGCCGTCTCACTAAACTGAATAATTTGATTCCAACTTTCTTTAGATCATACTGGGTAATTATTTGTTAAGCTATGATTTAATAATGCTTTATATCTTCAGATAACTATTATAAAACCTGCATGAAATTCATCAAAGATGTATGTTAATTAGAATCAAATTCAAGGCAAATTTAAAATGAAATACAAGGCAATTTTTAGAGAGATTTCAAAGCAGAGTAATAGGTTTGTTTAAAAAAATCAACTAAATATTTATAATTTTTAGTTCTTTGATTTTGTAATTTGTTGTATAATTCTCAATTTTTTGTCATCAGTTTGTGATGTATCATCACAAAAATAATCAAATTGTTTAAAAAAGTGAAATATTTTTCTAGCCCCATGTAGAATCTGTGCCGACTATAGGCTGTGAAGATTATAACCACAAAATTTATCCCTTAAAACACTGATGTGGAATCAATGTGAAGATCGGTCTACTGTGAAGGATATTCCATGAAAATTCTAACTCCATTTATAATGTTTTCCTTTTTCTCTGTATGTGAGATTATGTGTTGTTATTTATAAGTGAATGGGCCTGATATGTGAGGACATAGGAGACTCATGACTTCCTCCTAAACCAACAGTTACAAATGATTTCAATTGTTTGATGAAAGGCTGAATCTAATGCTGGACATTAATTTTTTTAAAAAAGTCATCCCTAGTAGATTTAAATTAAGTTAATTTGTTTTTGTATCCAAGCAGCATTTTATGAAGCGTAATCCATACTTTTACTGGATTGGAGTGACCTACAGTGCAGCTCACGGTGCCTTGGTGTGGCTGAATGGCTCTGCTGTCTCCCAGGATCTGTAAGTTTCTGAGTCAAGGTTTTTTCTGTCCTTAAGCATATTCTTGGATTTCATCAGAGACAAAAGCTAAGATCCTCTTTTTAGAGCATAAACACACAGAAAGTAGTTTGAACAGAAAAACAATTTTAGTTGCTTCTGATAAATAGTTTGTGAATTTGTGAGCATATATGAGCTTCTGACATTTTTTTTCTTGTACTTTTGAACCAGTACTGGGGGTATATGGGGGTATGAGGGTTTGCAGAAGGCACATTCATGAGGGATGGCCAGTATCCTTGATTTTCTTTATTATGCTGGAGCCCAGTATTCTCAACCCCTAACCAAATCCCATGTTTCAAATATGATGTTTTTTTTTATTTTTTTAATTAATTTATTTATTTATACAAGCACTGGGTACAGTCAGAAGTGTGGGAGGGTGAGAGAATTCACCAGAGCCAGAGTGGTGAGCAGAACAGGCAGAAGGATCGAAGGACACTGCTGAGGGGAGCAGCGGGCGGCAGGAGAGGTCTGCGCGACATGCGGGACCCTTCTCCGGTGGCCGGGGAGAAGCCGGGATCGAACCAGCGCCGCGGAGGCTTCGGGCAGCTTTGCAACCCAGCATTCAACTGCTGCACCACCGGGAAGGCCATTTTTAATTTTTTTTAATATTTATTTATTTATAAAAGAACCCGGGTACAGGCCAGATGCATGGGAGGGTGAGAGGATTCACCAGAGACAGAGCGGGGAACAGAACAGGCAGACTGACTAAATACACTGCTGAGGGGAGCAGCAGGCAAGACAGGAGAGGTCTGCTGTGCCATGTGGACTCTCGCCAGCTGCCTGGGATTGAACCCGCACTGCAAAGGCTACGGACAGCTTCACATTGTTGTGCTCAACCACCTGTGCCATATATTTGTAATTTCCAAATCCCCTTCTCATTCATAAACATGGGATTTCATACAATGGCAAGCTTTATGCCCTGACGTGTTTGCCTAGACTGGATTACTCAGTACATCTTTATTATAGATTGAAGCAAAGTACATCAATTATCAAAACCATTAATAACAAAGGCGAAAGAATCCCTGCACTCTATGTATTATATTATAGAGGTAATAAATGAACTTTAGTAACATGCTACTCTGAAATGTGAAGACTGTAGCTATTGAACAAAACATATGACTCACTATCTTAATATCTATTCAAAATGTTTGAAAAGCTCTACTATTTAATAAGAAGTATCTCTGAACATTTTCATTTCTTTCTCCCATATGTTGCATTTTCATTTTTAATTTCAGATTTCCAAGGTTTAAAATTAAAAATCCAGAGAAGTGCATAGGATACAGCCCGAGTGGTTATGTTTTGGAAAAACATTGCTGGGAGAAATTCCAATTTATCTGTAAACAGCAACTTACTTAGTTGACTCTTTGGTGGAAGAAGTGAGCAGTAAAGGTACTGCAATGAATGCTAAGTCTCCTCTTACCCTATTCCAATTATCTAATTTTCAGTTCTGTAAAACATTTCAATTTGTCTCATATTAATTTTGTATATTTGAAAATGTTATAAAGAAAGGTGAGTCTATGCACCACCATCTGTAATTAAGGTGTAAGATAAAGACTGTAATGAATACTTTGATTTAATTTGAGTTTGGTATTGAATTTAATATATTTTATGGGTGTATTCTAGTAATTTTTTTATAAATTTAAATAAACAATTCACATCAAATAATATATGTCAACATCATTTCATTTTTTTGTACAGCATTCTATATTATAAAGATTCATCTTTGCTCATATTTCTGAATGTTAGCTCTTTCTGGGAACCTGTAAATCACTTTGTTTAAACTTTGGCAATTTTCTATTATATGTCTTGGTGTAGGTCCTCTTGCATTAGAGAAATATATGTTCTAGACTTCATGAATTTTTGTAGATAGTTCCTTCCCCAGGTTTGGAACATTTTATTTCTTTAAAGAAATCCTCTGTTTCTTTCTCTCTCTCTTCACCTTCTAGGATGTCCACTATTCTCTGTTTCATTTCCTAATGGAGGCTGATGGCCTCATATTTTCATCATTCTTTCTAAATCTTAGCCTTTCTCCTCTACAACTTGAGTCATTTCTAGATTTCTGTTTTTTCCTCACTATTCTTTTTTCCTGTGTTCTACCCTATTTTGTATGTTTTCATTAGCAGTTTTGTTCCATTTATTGAATCTTCATGTCCAGGATCTCAGGTTCTGTTTTTCTTTTATACTTTCATTCGTACTTCTTTAATTTCAATCTCTTCTTCCTAAATTTATTCCTGAGTTATCAGTTGTCAATCCATCTTTTCTTGGAATTTGTTATCTTCCTGACATCTACTTTGATTTCATCAAATTTTATACTTTTAAGTTTGATTTCCAGATATTTGTCTTTCTCTTTTTTGTATTATTTAATGATGTGCCTGTCTGTCCTAGAAATTGGCTTCTGTCAAGAGTGCCAAAATGATGGCTATTGTACCTGCAAGAAGACACTTTCCTAAGATCACATAAATATGTGGGAAAGTAAAAGAGGATCATCTTAGATTCTCCCTTGTGAAGGCTTCAAACTATGGGAAATATATACTTAACTAGAAATTGATGTCTTTATTCAATAAATTTCATGTATTATTCTTTAATTTTAATTCACAATATGTATAGTAAAATAGGATAAAAACTATATTAGTAACATTGGGAATAATACAAAAGAAATACGGAATTTGAAGGAACATTATTGGGACAGAAATAGTAAATGAAACTATCCAAACTGGGACAGAGGTAGTAGGTAATTTTAAGATGCTCAAATCTTCAAGCACTTTCAAAGTAGAACTTGTCACTGTATGTGCATACATGTGGGTAATTTACAATACCAGTCTTCTCTCTGTCTCATCATGGTATCTAAAAGAAGAATGAACAGTTAAAGTAAGAAGATAAAATTAACAAAAAAAGCACAAAAATATGCTTTTGAGAAGACAAGGTAATGGTTAAATACAGTTCTACAAAGTCAGGAAATATTAAACTTTGTTAGTCACAGTTACAAAGAGTTTAAAAATGCATAATGTTCACTGAATGGAACAAAGTGAACAGAATTTATTTGATTTTGATTCACCAATAAGGAATTTTCCTGCCATTGTCAGGCACTGAGTTGTAAATACTAAGATGCACATGTATAAAAGTCAAAGAGCTGTCTGCTTTTATGGGGCTAAAATTAGAGGGAGAGCTGACTTTAGTAATCACAATAAATACACAAAGCAAATGAACTGACTGACTTTAGAGTATGACAAAGACTTTGTCTAGATAGAAAAATTAATGGAGATGATCCTCATAAAGAAGTGAGTCCTCAGGCAAGTTAAGGATAATTAGACAGCTTCAAGTCCCTGCAGGCAGGGACTTCAGGAGACTTACGGAAGTTTCCAGACATAAGGACAACAAATTCTAAAAGGAACCCCAAAGACTAGGGGTGACAGGATGTTCCGGAACAACGATGATACAGAAAAGTATGCTAAGATAAGGGCTGGGACACAGAGACTTAGTTCTGGGCACAGAGACTTTAAGGCAGTGAGTGAGCCCACTGAGAACCAACCAATCACCAAGAGACTGGTGGAGCTTTAGCATAATTAGGGGAAGAAGTTACATATTCCCTGAGGCAAGACTCCACTTTCGGATCCTTTCCCTCCCTGGCTTGGTCCAAGGGCCTGGGAGACCCACTTTATATCTGTTCTTTTTCTCCTTAATAAACTTTTTCTTTCTCTAAACAAATCTGCCTCTTTTTGCTTGCTTGCCTGGGCATCCAGAAGTCCAGCTGTTGCTTCTTGTGGTGGTCTAGTGGCTGGGACTCAGTGCTGCCACCACCACCACCTGGGATCCATTCTTGGCTGGGAGACTAGGCCTGAAAACCTGAAATTACGGTATCAGTGGTATTTATATCTGAGAATATATTCATCTGAGAAATGAATAATTTTATGAACATAAGAAAGCTGGGATCCAGAAGTCTGAGTGTTTTGGAAATAAACAAGCAGCAAATGAAATGACCTTGCACTGGAGTGAAGATGAGGGTTAAACCTTGGATTTGGAGGATGGGGTAGAAGTGGCATGATACAGTCATGGGGGAGGGAATTCCAGAAAACATAGAGCTTAAGGACTGAAAAGGAATTTGACATCTTCAGGTTACTCTCAATCCCTAAAGTTCCCAAACAGACCAGGACAGAAGGAAACCATCTGCGCCCCCATTCATAATCACACATGGGGCTGCCAACACCAGGTGACCTAGGGCCACAGACTGTTGCTAAAGACTCTGAAGAAGCACAGAGCCTCTAGAATAAACATGGAAATAGATTTCTGCTTTGGTGATAAGATTAATTAATAGCACATATTTTAACATTAAAGTATTCAAGAGAAATCAAGCTTTTGCAATTTGTCAAAGTTGGTGTCTCATAGTAATGGAGGTGATAAGAAATGATAATTTAGATACAAACACACGTGCACATACACATACACATATGTATATATATGTATATTCCAACATATGCACAAAACACATTTAATGACATGTTAGATGTAGTATATAAGAGAAAGGGACTTCAAATATGACTTTGGTTTTGGTTTGCTTGTTTTAATTTATACTTAATTTCAAAATCAAATATGCCCGGAAAAGTAGTATCAAAGATAAATGTGTATCTTTTAAAAATTACTGAATGTCAAATTGTTTAAAAAATTACATTTTATATATTCTTCCTGATCTGTCAGTGTGTTTGTCCATGCAACATCTACCTACATACCTATATATTGACAGCTTGGAAGTGTGTAAATTGACCCTCAGTGAGTGAGAGTTCAATGTAAAAGTTGGAAGGTGAGTTCTCTAGACTGACAGATTTTTACTGATTTGTATAGCATTCTGCTTGGTTCCTGTTGCATCTCACAATGCTTGTGGAGTCATTCTACTTCCCTGTTGTATCAACAGATACTGACCACAGAGCTTTGTAATGTAAGGTTTTTGTTTTATGTTTAATAAAAGGCTCAGTGCCATTTCAGTGATAATTAGTAAAAAAAAACGGAGCTTTAGACATCAAGAAGTGACCAATCTATCACCTTAGGCACTATAGTTCAGTGTGAAAACCCAAAGGCCCACAACACTCACCGTAGAGACACTGCAGCTACCGGGTATCCAGAAGCCACAGGCAGCAATGAGCTCTTTGAAGCTCGGACATGAGGTTGTTACTTCAATCCATGTGAGGGACATGTTGGTGACAAGAGCTATATATATATATATATATATATATATATATATACACACACTATATATACACTATATACACTATATATATATATATATATATATATATATAGTAAGGGCTAAAATTAAGTAATCTGGAAGCAAGGTGTATATTTTGTTAGCTTCATAAAACTTGCATTATCAGGCACAACAGGAGAATGCCAACTTTACCAAAAAAAAATATTACAAGTGAGTTCATCATTGTTTGGATGCTTCTGTTTCTGTGCAGACACCTCCCTTTATGAAGTAGCTGTGAGGTGGTGTCAAGGGCCAAGAAAGATCTAAACATCCCCACCACTGTCACATACTATGTTATTTGTCAATGAAGTGTGAATGAGCTATTCCTGAATTTGTCACTTTGGTTTTAATATTTGTTTATCCTATTGGTAAGCAGTTTTATTTTTGGTGCTTTTAAGTCATTCAAAAAGGGAAACTGGGCCTCCCCGGTGGCGCAGCGGTTGAGCGCTGGGTTGCAAAGCTGCCTGCGCCCTCTGCGGCGCCGGTTCAATCCCCGGCTGCTCCCCGGCCACCGGAGGAGGATCCCACGTGGCGCGCAGACCTCTCCTGCCGCCCGCTGCTCCCCTCAGCAGTGTGCTTCTGTCCTTCTGCCTGCTCTGCTCCCCGCTCTGGCTCTGGTGAATTCTCTCACCCTCCCGCGCTTCTGACAGTACCCAGTGCATGTATAAACAAACAAATAAAATAAATAAATAAATAAAACATGCCTCTATAAAAAAAAAAAAAAAAAGGGAAACTGTCTTGCATCATCTCTCTGGTCTATGCCTGACTGAATTTATAACTGCCTGATAAAATTGCAACTGTGAAATGATAGCATCTGTTAAAACACCAATGTAGTACACTAAATCCATATTTTAATTTCATAAATATTGGGTAACTTGTCAGAGAGAAACTTTTAAAAAATGTGTTGAATAAGATGGACATGAGCATGTCAACCCATGGTAAATTATTCCTGATTTGTTTGTAGCTACAAGGTCATCATCTCTATTCAGAAGAGCCAGTCATGTAAAGATCAATCCTGGTGAACCCTTAAAAATTTTTCAGTGGAACTGAATTACGTTAAGAAGCTGTCTGGTTAATCTGAGATAATGTCAGAAATTTTAACTCTAAGATGTGGATATGCAGAGTTAGGCAAAAAGAAAGTGACTTCCTTGAGTAGACATACTTGTGTGATTTTCTCATTAAAGAAAGTATTGCTCATAACAGAATTTCTGGTGCATTATAAATTTCGACATCAGTGTAGTGGAATCCAAAATTGTTAACTGGGATTATAAGAAATATACATTTAGCACAGCATAGGATTTCTTTTTTGTGTGTGTGCTTAGTGAGTGTTAAAATTTTCTTAAAATGAACAATTCAAAACACAAAGCTGGTAAGCAAAGGAAAGGATTAAATCTTTACCTTTCCTTTTCTTTAACAACATAATCCAGAGTGAAATAAAAATTGCTGGTAATATTTTTTGTAGAACATAAAAGCAGGGATGATGATGATTACATGAGTTTATAGATTTTGTACAAAATGCAAGTAAATGATTGCATGGAAAAACTGATGAAATATGATTGTTCTCTGTCGATATCCTGTTTTTAGCATTGTGCTTAGATATTTAAGATTTTACTATTGGAAAAAAATGAGTAAGTGTTGCAAGTAAGCTCCCTGTGCTCTATGATTGTTGCTACATTCTGTTAAAAAAAGAAGAAGAAGAAGAAGGAGAAGGAGAAGGAGAAGGAGAAGGAGAAGGAGAAGGAGAAGGAGAAGGAGAAGGAGAAGGAGAAGGAGAAGGAGAAGGAGAAGGAGAAGGAGAAGGAGAAGGAGGAGAAGAAGAAGAAAGAAGAAGAAGAAGAAGAAGAAGAAGAAGAAGAAGAAGAAGAAGAAGAAGAAGAAGAAGAAGAAGAAGAAGAAGAAGAAAGGAGGAGGAGTCGTCATTCCAATATAAAAAATTAAGGAAAAAAACAGAAGAGAAGACAGTGTATTTAATCCTCAATGTTAGAACAACTATCTTCATTTTCCTTTGCTTCTCATGTCACAAATACACCATTGGTTCCCTCATTAAATTCGCATTCTGTTACAGTATTTAACAAAACCTTTCCACATCAGTGGTGGCAGTTTCAGAACAATTGATATATTAAATGTTCTCAAGCAAAGCTCATGGAAGACATTACTCATCTTGAAAACGTCATTTCTTGCTAATTCTGAACAAGATCTGTGATCCACACACCCAAGTATGTTTCCTAATTGGTTACATGGTACATAAGAAATTCACACTCAAGGTCCGTGTGCTTCAAAGGGAACCAAAATATGTAGATCAGTAATAGACTGACTCATAAAAACCTATCTGAAAAAAATCAAAACAAATATAAACACAAAGTTTTGAAAGAGTCCCACAATTTTCCAATGTTCATCCTTCTAGAAGTTTGGTGTCTCAAAATTTCCTTGAGGGCCTCCCTGGTGGTGCAAGGAGTTAAGCACAGCACGGTAAAGCTGTTCTTCCGCAGCCTCTGTAGCATAAGTTTGACCCCTGGCCACATAGGGAGCTACCCACATGGTGCAGCAGACCTCTCCTGACTCTGACACTGCTCCCCTCAGCTATGCATTTCAGTCAGTCTGCCTGTTCTATTCCCCACTGTCTCTGGTGAATCCTCTCACCCCCTGCATCTCTGGCCTGTACCCCAGCTCTTGGATGCATAAATAAATAAAACTTTAAAGAGAATTTCCTTGAGATAACCATGACTAGTCATTCATGACTATTCACTTTAAGTGAAATGGATCCCACTCTGGTGTCCAAACTGGGTCTCAGCTGAGTTTAGTCAATCTGTGTGTCTAACCCACTTGTCACTGTTATTTGTATCCAGAAGATGGAGAGTCTCAGAGACCTCCTACAAGAATGTGGAAAATAAGCAGACTACATGAGAATTTATATGCATTTGTTCTAGCTGTATACATTTCAAAATCTGAATGAGGTACTAAGTTTCGACTAAAACCAGCTGAGGTGGGCCTCCCCAGTGGCGCAGCGGTCGAGTGTTGGGTTGCGAAGCTGCCCGCAGCCTCTGCAGGAGGGTCCCACCTGGCACACGCAGACCTATCCTGCTGCCCGCTGCTCCCCTCAGCAGTGTCTTTGGTCCATCTGCCTGTTCTGCTCCCCGCTCTGGCTCTGGTGAATTCTCTCACCCTCCCGCACTTCTGACTGTACCCAGTGCTTGTATAAATAAATAAATAAATATTAAAAAAAAATAGCTGATGCAAGTGTAGAGCGTGTGTGTATGTGTGTGTATGAGAGAGAGAGAGAGAGAGAGAGAGAGGAGTGTACAGGAACTGTAATGGGGGGACACTTTCTACCTTTTTAAACTCTGACTTCCAGAGATGAGTTAAGGAGGCAGGGAAAAGAATGACAGAATGAGACAGGAAACACCAACCACTGTGTGCTAAAGAAAATAGATATCCACAAAATCTACAGACAGAGATGCTTTATTTACAATAAATTGCATGTGTCTATGGATATGTACTGCCTGGTTTCGAAGGTAAATCTCCTAGAGTTGTTGTTGAGTTTTATGATGCTTAATAATATGAATGCAATTATGTAATTTTATTAAGTCATTCTCAGAAATTAATGAGCTAATATATGTGCTAAATGTTTTAATCAGTGTTTAGTACAATATGGAAAATGAATACTTATTATTAAACTAGAAGGAAATTTTATTTGTGTAATTTTATTATACTGAGTACACACACTTAGGTTTGCCCAAGTTCTCATTATTTACCAAATATTATTTTAAAATTATCTGATGTTCAAACATTAAAAAAAACACCATCAAAAAACCTTCCCCTGACCTTTTATTTCAACAAAGGGAGGCGCCAAGCAGGTATTGTGAGAATTTCCTGTATTGTGGTTCCGGGACTTTTTAAGCTCGTGATTTTGCTGCTTCTGTTTCATACTGCCCATCCACACTCATCAGTAAATAGGTGATTTGAGAGATTGTTTGAATGCACAATTTCCATTTTTCTTTTAACTCTCTTCTTATACAACTTTCGGGTTCCTAAGCGTCCAGCTCAGTCCATAACGAGACCAAGATCTTCTGGAACAAGCGAGGAGCCTTCCCCACATCGACCAGGAGCACCCATCCTTATGGCAGGTACGTACAGCCCCTGCTATGCAACTGGAAAATAAAAACAAGAAAATGTACGTGATGGATACTGATCATTTCGAGGCAGGACTGGGGAAATAATGAGAATTTCAAATTTCATATATATCAGTATGTTCCTCTGATTTTTAATTTTATTATTCTTCATTATACATTATAGAAATTGTTTTGTGAAGTTTTTCCAAGAGGTTGAAAGGATGGTTTCTGACAGGGACAGCGCTAAGGCTTACCGGACTGATTTACTTGGTTAAATTATAGCAACACTATTTGAGTATAGAGCTAACTAGAGAATTTGAAATGTTAATGCTAGTGGTTACAAGTTCATAAAAATTTCTCATTTTGTTTTGACATCCAAAAGTCAGTTGATTTAATAGTTTTACGAACTAGAGTGTGAATGGCAATATACTTAGGATGTGTACCCATGTTAATGCAGAATCTTCTAATGTTCATTTCTTTCAAGGGAAATGCTATAAAAAAGTAAATTTGGGTATGAGAAAATGCAATGTCTTATAACCAATGTTGGCTTAATTTTCTGCACTCAAACTATGTAAAAGAAAAGCAGGTTCCCAGGGAGTCATCCCTGTATGTGCTGGGGAGCCTTCATCACACCAGATCCAGGGTGTCCTTTGTCTTTTCATCCCTATTCAACTTCTGCAGAGTTATGAGCACCCTGACATGTCTCTAGCAGGGACTGATTAGAAGAGGACACTGCCAGGAAGCATTTTCAAATTGTTACAGGGACCATCCAGTGATTTTACTTCTGAGTTGGATACCTGCCAGCTCTGATACCCTGAATAATGACATTGTAAAAGAGACATAATTTTTCTTAACTGTCTACTGGAAATGATACCTCTTATGGTTTTTCCCTGAGAGAATATGTTAATGTCCACTACTTAAGTCCACAAACATGACTTTGTAAATGCCTATCTCTCCGAACTCAGATCCCCATAATTCTATGCCCTCCTATCCAAAAAAAATTACTGGTGAGTCTATATTACTAAGATGGATCCAGTAAATAGGAAAATGCATGAATAATCTCACAGAATAAATTTTGGTATTGCTTGGAGCTTGCAATAGCTTGTTTTCATTTCCCAATGTTTCACTGGCAGGCAATCAGATCACCAAATTAAAAAGCTTTTTGGATTATCTCCTATTACTTTCTGCCTTTACAAACCTCTCCAGTGTTTTCCTTTGAAGGCATTACCCTACCTCTCTTTCTCTACAGCTCGCCAGACCACTCCATGGAGGTGGATCTCTGGGATCTTAGGAGTAACGTGCCTTTCATTGATGGCTATTTTGGGAATTGTGTTGGAAAAATTTTTTCTAAGTAAGTTTTTCTTTTTCTTTTTTTTAATTTAAATATTTTATTTTATAGAATTCTTATATCTTTTTTCATCTTTGCACAATGTATACATTTTCATTTTGGTTATATTCCCCATACAATTGCACCTCCCCCCTTATTTTGGCGCTAGTCCTTCTTCTCCCCACTCCACCCTCCCCCCCACCCCCACCCATAGTGTGTCTCTGGTTTTTAGTTGCTTGTTTATTTTGATTTTTATTTTGTATTGATTAGTCTTTTTCCTGATGTCTTATTTAGGTTTTCTAAATTCCTGCTATGAGTGAGACCATCCGGTATTTTTCTTTTTCTTTCTGATTTATTTCGCTGAGCATGATGCCTTACAGCTCCATCCATGTCGCTGCAAACTGCATGTGTTTATCTTTTTTATTGCTTAGTAATATTCCATTGTGTATATGTACCACATCTTCTTGATCCATCATCTATTTTTGGGCATTTGGGTTGCTTCCATAGCTCTAAGTAAGTTTTTCTAGGCTAGTTTGATAAAGTTCAAAACCTTGATGAAAATATTTAATAATAAATGTTTCATTTACTGGCACAGAATATTTTATATTTTCACAAAACTGTATCTGATGATTGCTATCATTTCTTACAGCATATCATAAAACTATTAATGATGTGACAGTCTCTCCAGGGAATAGCACTAAAGGTTGGTTCCAAATTTGTAGACCTTGGGGTTTCTAGAAGATGAAATAGGCAGTTTCCCTCTTTTTTTATACAGACCCGTGATGGAATATTGTAATCTAGTTTTACAAATTGACCTACTAACTTTATGATAGTCTCATTTCATTATTCTCCAGTATACAAATTATTAAATTGCATTCAATATGTATCATCTATATATTTAAATATTAAGGAAATATTAATCTGAAATGACACAATTTCCTGCATGAGTGTTCACATATAAGTGAACAATAAAATTAAATTGCAGTATAAACCCCTGCTGACTGGCTCTGTTGCTCCTAAACCATAAATTTATGTCTTTAATTTTGACCCTGTATCTTTTGACTCAGAATTTAGTGTACAGATTTCAGCATATCTAACTCTCACCAAGTGAGCTTGTTCAAACCTTAATTTTCAATGTGTTTTATCCATGTTTTTCAAGTTGTCTCAACAGCTTTTGTGATCATCTCTCACTTCAGATTTTTTATTTTTACCATCTTTTTTTCCAGTTAATTGCAATACAACGGACATAGAGCGTTGTATAAGATGCACAAAGTGTTAGCTTGATAAACGTCTGCAATGTGCTCACATTATATATTAGCTAAAACCTCCATTCCATCACCTAAGTGGCACTTCTCTTTGTGCTGATAACATTATCATCTACCCTTTTATGCTAATCGCAAGTATGAAACAGAGAAATGCTACCTACTTTCACAATACTGGGTACCAGATCCTCAGAACTTATTCATGCAATATTTTGAAGATCTGGAATTTTATTTTGAAATATTTGAACAATATTTTGTTCTAACTAGAAGTTTATAACCTTTGTCTATCCTTTTTGTAATCACATGTCAGCACCACTCATTTTGCAAAGATTTGAGTGCCTGCCACATATCAAGACCTTTTTAAAGGAGGATAGTAAATGCTCAGGGCACAACACTGTAAACTGTGGGATGAAATTTCAAGCTAATTGTTTTATTCATCTTTTATAAGATCAAATACCCAGCACGTATATCAGAATTTTCCCAGCATACGTTATATGTGTTATTATTCAGAAAATATCTTACAATACTTTCTTCCTTTAAAGGTATCTAGGATTGGGCCTCCCCGGTGGCGCAGCGGTTGAGCGCTGGGTTGCGAAGCTGCCCGCGGCCTCTGCGGCGCCGGTTCGATCCCCGGCTGCTCCCCGGCCACCGGCGGAGAATCCCACATGGCGCGCAGACCTCTCCTGCCGCCCGCTGCTCCTCTCAGCAGTGTACTTCGGTCCTTCTGCCTGCTCTGCTCCCCGCTCTGGCTCTGGTGAATTCTCTCACCCTCCCGCGCTTCTGACTGTACCCAGTGCATGTATAAACAAAACAAACAAACAAAATAAATAAATAAATAAACATGCCTCTATAAAAAAAAAAAAAAAAAAAAAAAAAAATAAAGGTATCTAGGATCATGCCCTCCCCGGTGGCCTGTTGGTTAAATCTCATGGCTACCACCAGGAAGTCTCACTGAAATGGCCTGAGTTCAATCCCAGGCCATGGAGCTAACATACATGGCACAGCAGACCTCTACTGTCAAGCCCACTGCTCCCCTCAGCAGTGTACTTTGGTCAATCTGCCTGTTCTGTTCCCCACTCTGTCTCTGGTGAATCTTCTCATCGCCCACACCTCTGGCTGGCACCCCCGTTCTTCTAGGGGAAATAAATAAAACCTTTATACAAAAGATCTCTAGGATCTAAATTTTCTCCTAGATTCAACAGAAAAACAATTTTAGCTATATCTAGAATATTCAAATATATGCTCAGATAGATTTTCAAAAGAATTTGTAGAAAAAAAGTAAATTAAAATTAAATTTTGAATGAGTAGAGAAAACTGAAAGACAATCACCAATCAACTATTATATGTTATTTTTCTCTTAGACTCTGGTTACAGTTCTTGCCAAGAAAGATGGATCGGCTATCAGTGCAACTGTTACTTCCTTTCCAGTGAATTCAAACCTTGGAATGAAAGTAGTGATTTCTGTGCTTCTCAGAATTCCACCCTACTTCAGATGGACAACAGAGATGAATTGGCAAGTATTTAATTCTGGCTTCCTATATGTTTTAAGTCTTGGTAAAAATTGCCATCTAACTAAGCCTAATAATTTAATTCCAACTTTCTTTAGATCAAACTGGGTAATTATTTGTTAAGCCAATGATTTGATAATGTCCTATATCTTCAGATAACAATTACAAGATCTACATGAAATTCATCAAAGATGTATGTTAATTGGAATAAAATTCAAGGCAAATTTAACATGAAATACAGGACACTTTATAGAGAGATATCAAAGCAGATGTAATATTTATTTAGAAAATCAACTAAATATTTATAATTTTAGTTCTTTGTTTTTGTAACTTATTGTATAATTCTCAATGTTTTGTCATCAGTTTGTGATGCATCATTACAAATATTATCAAATTCTTAAAAAAAGTGAAATATTTTTCTAGCCCCATGTAGAATCTGTGCTGAATAGAGGTTGTGAAGATTATACCCACAAAATTTATCCCTTAAAACACTGACGTAGAATCAATTTGAATATCGGTCTCCTGTGAAGAAAGTATTCCATGAAAATTCAAACTCCATTTATAATTATTTTCTTTTTGTCTACACGTGAGATTTTGTGTTGTTAGTTATAAGTGAATGGGCTTGATATGGGAGGACATAGGAGACTCATGACTTCCTCCTAAACCAAATGTTACAAATGATTTCAATGTGTTTAATGAAATGTGAATCTATTGCTGTACATTAATTAAAAAAAATGTCATCCAGGTAGGTTTGAATTAGGTTAATTTGTTTCTGTATCCAAACAGCATTTTATGAAGTTTAGTGATTACTTTTACTGGATTGGCGTGACCTACAGTGCAGATCACCATGCCTTGGTGTGGCTGAATGGCTCTGTTGTCTCCCAGGATCTGTAAGTTTCTGAATCAAGGTTTTTTCTGCCTTTAAGTGTTTTCTTGGATTTCATCAGAGACTAAAGCTAAGATCCTCTTTCTAGAGCATTAAAACACAAAAATAGAACAGAAAATCAATTTTAGTTGCTTCTGATATATAATTTGTGAACTTGTGACCATATAAGAGCTTCTGGCATTTTTTTATTCCTCTGCCTTAGAACCAGCATTGGGTGTGTGTGGGTGTGCAGATGGCGCATTCACGGGGCTGTTCAGAGAAAAGAGTGTCCTTGATTTTCTTTATTCTGCAGGAACCCAGTTTTCTCAACCCCTACTCAAGCCCCATGTCTCAAATATCATGTACTTATTTTTATATATTTGTAATTTTCAAAGTCTCTTCCCATATATAAACATGGGATTTCCAGCATCCTACAAGGTTAAGTTTTATGCCCTGACTTGTTTGCCTAGATTGGATTAGTCAGTGCATCTTTAATATAGATTAAAGTAAAGTATATCAAATATATCCATTAATAACAGAGGCAAAAGACTCCCTGCCTTCTATGTATTAGATTATAAAGTTGGGCCTCCGTGGTGGAGCAAGGAGTTAAGACGCAACCTATGAAGGTATCCGAAGCTACTGTAGCATGAGTTCGATCCCTGCAAGGAGCAGCCGATATGGCGCAGCAGACGGTCCTGACTGGGCTGCTGCTCCCCTCAGCAGTGTATTTCAGTCAGTCTGACTGTTCTGTTCCCTGCTCTGTCTCTGGGGACTCCTCTCTCCACCCCCCACACCACTGGCCTGTACCCCAGCACTTGTATGCATAAATAAATATCTTTAAAAAAAGTTTTACTATAGATTATAGAGGTAATAAATGAACTTTAGTAATGAGTTACTCTTAAATCTTGAAGACTGTAGCTATTGAACAAAACATATGACTTAATATCTTAATGTCCTATTCAAAAGCTTTGAAAATCTCTACTATTTAATAAGAAATATCACTGAACATTTTCATTTCTTTCTCCACATGTTGCATTTTCATTTTTAATTTCAGATTTCCAAGTCTTAAAATTAAAAATCCAAAGAACTGCATAGTATACAGCCCAAGAGGTTACGTTTTGGAAGAACAATGTATGAAGGAAAAGCTTTTTATCTGTAAACATCACCTTACTTAGGTGTTGATTTGGTGGAAGAAGTGAGCAGTGAAGGCCCACCAAAAGAACACTAAGTCTCCCTCTTATCCTATTCCAGTTATCTAATTTTGGGTTCTGTGAAATATTTAAGTTGTCTTATATTAGTTTTATATATTTGAAAATGTTATAAAAATGTTGAGTTTGTGCACCACTGTTTGCAATTATAAGGCACAAGATAAAGACTGTAATGAATACTTTGATTTAATTTGTATTTGGTATTGAACTTAATATATTTTATGGATATATTCTAGTAAATTTTCTTTTTATAAATTTAAATAAACAATTCATATCAAATGATATATGTCAATATCATTTCATTCTCTTGTACAACATTCTAAATTGTGAAGATTCATCTTTGCTCATATTTCTGAATGTTAGCTCTATCTGGATACCTGTACATCATTATGTTTAAACTTTGGCAATTTTCTCTTTTCTAAAAGCTTTATTTACTATTGATACAAGAACTGGGCTAGAGGCCAGAAGCATGGGAGGGTGAGAGATGTCACCAGAGACAAGCGGGAAGAAGAACAGGTAGATGGAACGAAAACACTGCTGAGGGGAGCCCTGGGCAAGACAGGAGAGGTCTGCCACCACCATGTGGGTATCTCCCTGGATGGCCAGGAATCGTATCTGGGCTTCAGAGGGTGCGGACAGCTTCATAGAGCTGCAATCAAACCGATATACCACCAGGGAGGCCCTAAATTTTGGCAATTTTCTATTATGTGTCTTGGTGTAGGTCCTCTTGCATTTAGATAAATATATTTTCTAGTGACTTTATAAATTTTTGTAGATAGTTCCTCCCCGGGTTGGGAACATTCTCAGCTATTATTTCACTAAAGAAATTCTGTTTCTTTCTCTCTCTCTTCACCATCTGTTTCATTTCCTAATGGAGACTGATGGCCTCATGTTTTCATCTTTTTTGCTAAATCTTGTCCTTTCTCCTCTACCACTTGAGTTATTTCTAGATTTATATGTTCTTCTTCACACTAATGCTTTCTTCCTTGTATTCTATCCTCCTTTGTATGTTTTCTTTTTTTTTTTTTCCTTTATTGAATCTTTGTGTCCAGGATCTCTGGTTCTCTGGTTCTGTTTTTCTTTCATATTTTTAATCTCTGTTTCTTAAGTTTCTTCCTGAGTTATCAGTTGACATTCAGTGTTTTCTTCAAATATGTGATCTTCCTGGCATCTCTTTTGAATTGTTTTTCTGGTATTCCTCAAATTTCATATTTTTAAGTTTGAATTCTAGTTATTTGTCTTTTCTATTTGTATTATTTGATGATGTGCCTCTCTGTCTGGGAAATTGGCTTCTCTCAGAGTAATTAAGTGTCTTCCCTCTTATATGCAGTCTGTGGTAATGTGGCATTCTTTTTATGTTTCTCTTTTCTATCAGGGTTGGTGGGAATTGGAGGGGAGGGGGACAAACTCCTGTTATAGGAGCCTTAGACAGGGAGGGTGAGGAGAACCCCATAGGAATGTTAGTCACTATGCCACACCTCCTACCTATGAACCAGGTTTGGCTCTTACCTGTTCATACACCCTCTCATTGACTTCTTCCTCAGACCACTGGGTTTGCGTGGTAGCCCACCATTTTACTTGTGGCACAGACTTTAGATCACACACACATGGGTGTCTCCTGCATTCTCACATACTAAGTAGAGGAATTCTAGTTGAGGATAAATATTCTTAGACAAAGAATGAAATCCAAACCAATAAATTCAATCCAAACCATGGAAGCTGACACCATGTAAATGAGGCTCCAGAGGAAGAGAGGAAGGGGCAAAAACAGGACCAGGAGAGAGCACAGTAGATAATGTGCTTGCTTAGGTGCGCTATGGTGACTGCACCTGAAGGGGGAGATGTTATGCTTCCAACATTATAACAACAATCTAGCTCACATGGGGCAAATGATGATAGTATCTTCCTCTGCCATGAAGCTGACATTGTACCCCCTATTTTATTTTTTTATTGTAGTAACACTTTCGTTTCAGTTTTTTTAACTTTGTTGAAATTTCATTGTTTTACATAGTTGTAAATGGTGTCCTCAAGAATTGTTAGATCAATAAAAACTGTCAGTCTAGAAAACTCAATAAATTATATAATTCAATCAAACATTTCAGTAATTAAAAAGACATTGATTCAGCATTTACAATTTAGAGAAAAGTACCAAACTTCATAGGGAAAAATTCTTAATCTGTTCTTCCCACATTTATTTTCTCTGCTTTACTAGTAAAAGAGGTATTGAAAAATAGTCTTGGGAATGAATTAAAAGACCTAGTAAATGTGGATGCAATCACAAATAAATGGTTCACAATTTACAATCATCACAATGAGAAACTAGGTGGTTACTTTTTGTCCTTTTTGTGTATCGACTTGATATGAATAAATTGTCTTCTTACAAATAAAATAACCATAAATTCAGCAATCTTCAGCACTTATCAGCAATATTTTATATATGCACATTTAATAACATCATTCTTATGTCCACAAATTCAAAGTCTAGAACAGAAAATCATTTCCATTAAATGCTGAATTTGCTTAATGTGAAATTTGTATTTTTAATATTTATAATATTTTGATAAACTTAAGGCATATTGAAGTTTCTGATTTTCAAAATCAATTAATTTTGCCACACAATTATTACTAAGCTTTCTAAATGTGTTCACAATACACAACCTTCTAGACTTATGATAAGGTGAGAGCATAAAAAAACCCAACATAAACTGAACACATCTTTTGTAAAAAAAGCTATATAATATCCCTAACCTCCTGAACACTCATGTTTAGCCTCACCTCCCTTAAAAACGCATAGAACACTTCTATTAGTCTACAGCTAGACAAAAGTCCTCAAACACAAAGCCATAAAATGTTGAACATCTCACGTAATTTAGAACAACCTGTAGAGAATGGGTTATTGACTTTTGGGTTGGCCTGGCTGACTAGAAGCAGC